ATATATATATATATATATATATAGTTCTATGCAGATTGATTCTGAGGGAAAGAAAGCTTGGAGTTAACAATCTATTATAAAGGACTGTCGTTTCATTTGTTGTTTTACATTTAAAGGGACTCAACCAAATTATCTATTACTCAAAATTCCCTTTAGTTTGAATCTACTCTTATATGTGGGTTTGCCCATCTGTTTTTTGTCAGGAAATCGGTTTTACTAGAAAATACCACAAGTAGATAGGAAGGAGAAATTTGTTGTAGAGTTTCACTAATGATATTGTGCATACTTGCCCTTGCTTAATCTCTTAACTTAGAGTTTCAAGGCACACTTTAACAAAAAGAATGTCATTTTCTGTACATAGAAGTACTCATAACTGAGAAGTAGAGTTTACCATTGTTTTTGCTATCTAATTGATTCATTCGTGCTACACAACACTCATGAATAACTTCATATTTGTTCTGGCACGTAAATTGTCATATACATTTTTCTCCATTACATGTTGTCACACACACTAATAGCTTTTAATCTACTGCCTCCACCTCCCACTCATATTAAGTAAGCATTTTGTGGTAATTTCCAAAGCTAATGTTTGGTAGTTATGGTGCCACCTGTGAGCCATCACATTTGTGGAATTTTCTTTTCAGGTATCATGAAATGAATAATCACTGACCAAGTTCAACTGAACTAAGACTTTTTCACTAAAAGTTTCATAAGGATTAAATATTTGTGCTGTTACTATAGTATATACTAAATATGCAGGTAAACAAAACACCACTCCCTCACTGCATGTGAAGAACTTACACGTTTTTTAGGCAAACAAAAATATTTAGTGAGTATTATGCCAAAGAACAATTCAGTTAGATCAGGCGAGTAAATCTTATGAAATTTCTGAGATGTTTCACATCAGAAAAGTCCCTCAGTAGTTTAGAAAGTAAAGGTCACAAAGTGTCGGAATTTAAAAATATATATTCTTCTTTTTGCCGAGTGTCAAAATAAAAAGGCTTTTAACTTATACTATTTAGTAATAATAGTATAAATATATACTGTGTTGTTTTGCGGCTTAGGATTATTCAATAGTAGGTGTCTGTGACTTGTTGGCAATAAATTCAACTACGAGTATGAATAAACAGCACGCACTTCACTTGTTTTCAAATATATATATTCGTAACAAGTTAAACGTATGTACAACAAATTCTTCACACTATAGACTACAGGCATATCATAAACAATTTATATATATACATATATACTATAGTTCTCTTCTTCTTGTCAAAAGTCCACTAGGCCTATTCAGTTACTTCAGAATTTCAGTTGACAAGCCAAACAATCTTCTCTATTAGTATTATTATCGCACTAGTATTCTGTTACCATAATCGTTTGGTCTTCTTTCTCCTGAAGATCCTCTGTTCCTTTTGTCAAAGTGCACTCAGACTGATTCAATTACTTTAGAATTTCGCTTTGACGGAATAAATTATTTTTCTTATTTCCGTTTTTTCTGTTAGTCTTACTCTATGTCAATCGTTAGGCCTACCACTTCTACGGTAGTTAAACTTCACGGCAAACTTTTCCTTTCGTAATTTTACTTTCTTCTGCTGTTTTTTGTTTCCACTCGTCTCACGCTATTTATATCTTTTTTAATTGTCTGTCCACTTTCTATATTCTCGACGTCAATGTATTGCACGTGACGTTCAATAGTCTCAACATCAATGAATTATTAACAAAACTTCCTACACTCGTCTACTTTTAACTCTTATTATAACAAAACTAAACAATAATAAAATATCCACTCACAAAAATAAATTAACCAATAATATCTAAACTAAACAGTCTTTTTATATCATGACACAAAGCCCTTTCAACTGTATTTATAAACTCTAAGCAGTCATCTTCAGTAATACACACTGATGATATTCTAGGTAGTGCACCGACCAGCTATCCTAACTGTGTAAAAATCAAGAAGTTATCACCAAATATCCTGTACATATCTCTTGGTAAAACTCTGCTCAATAGTTTGAAAAGTAAAGGTCACAATGTTCTTTCAGTCCAGTTATTTTTTGCAATCAACAAACTCTTAATTTTGTAGTGATCAAGTGGCAATCACACAATGTAGTGCTTACATCTCGCTGTATGTGAAACTACTTGATAGGTTGGAATGCAAGAAATGACACTTCTATTCATTCATTGATCTTATAATCATTGACTGCCTTAGTTGCTGGCTGACAGTTAATGCTGGTCATGGCAATTAGGAAGTCATCTTCGATGTCTCAGCCAACAACAAGAGTTGTCATGTGCCTCTTCTCTATGTAATTACTTATTTGACTCATTTTCTACAACCAGATAAATAGTTTCAGCATCTTCCTCCCCATCAGCTGAGTCAAGTATTCTCATTATCCTCTGACTTGTCAATCTTGACCTCTAATTGCTTGTATGACAATGAAACAATATGTTGGAATACAAGATAAGGACCTATCTGACTAAAGTCGATCTGCTTTTATGCTGCTTGTATGTACGAAAGCCATATTCAGTCTATATGCTGGAATATTCATTATTTAACTGTCTTACTGTAACACCTTTTTCTGCAATACAGCAGCTTTTCCTAGCAGTTTGCACACAAACTCTTGTGCATCAGCCAACACAGACCCTAACCACTCCACATATTCTTTTGGACTATGTAGCACAGCTGCTCTCGTGACAAACCAATACATAACATCCACAGAGAGCAATATTTACAGACCAAACATGAACGTATTTGGCCCATCTCTGTTCTGTTGTATGATATATCATGGGATATGGTAAGTGTTTGCTCCAGTCGATTCTGTTGGAGTTAAAAATGTTTGTAAGTATCCACTTGATAGTTCATATTATCTATACTACTAAATCACCAGACTGGGATTGATAAAGCAAAGTCATGTATTCACCACACTCAACACTATGCATCTCAAAGAATAGCTGACTATTGAAATTAGCTTCCTGTTATGAGTGAATTTCTTTGGGTTTGCCAAATTAGGTTAGACAATGTTCCATCAACACATCAGCAACAGACTGTGCTGAAGTATTGCTCAATCAACTAGGCTTGACCCACTTAGTGACATCAGTACATGCTAATTAAGTTTTTAAGTTGCTGGGAGAGGACCAGTGATAAGGACAATAAATGATTTTCTGCTGAAGGTTACCTGGTAAAGTAT